AACTTAGCAATTTTCTTTCATGTTGAACCATTGGTGTTCAAATTGAAATTGTCAATCAATAAATTTTGAAGGTGTTTGACTCTCCACCATTGACAGCTATTAAAAAGCTTTGAAGCTTTGAAATCGAATTTAGATTTTCAAAAACCATTATTTGTTTGGATTTGGTGTTATTGGAAACAATTAGGAATATTGTTTAGAGTTTATTTCTCAATTTTGAGGGTGTTTTGGTGAAGATTCAACTTGATTTTGGCTGAAGTTCATATTGAAACTAGAAGAAGAAGAAGATATGACATACAATATACTTACGAAATTGTAATAAAGTTGTATTATAATTGTATGTAAATTGTATTCTGTTGTAGTTATATATATTTTTTTATTTGAATATTGTATGAAAGTTAAAAAATAGTTGTATAATATATGAATCATTGTATAAAATTTGTATTTAAGTTATCAATACTATCTTCTTACATAAAGTTGTTGATATGTATCAAAATTGTATTAAAAAAATAAGTTTTGATTGGAATTTTAGAGAGGAAGAAGCACACACCACATACAAAATATATACAAATCAGATACAAAATATATACAAAAGACATATTGTATAAAATTTGTATAAAAATTGTATTTAAGTTGTACAATATTGTAGTTGTATTTAACTGGGTAAAAATAATGTCTGAAAGTTGCAGATAAGTTGTAAATAAATTGTATAATATATACTAATTAGTTGTATGAAATTTATTTTTACTATGTATGTTGTTGTAGATATTCAAATTTACATTAAATTTGTACGGAATTTATTTTTAATTTGTATGTTAATGTACTATATATTGTTCTTTTCTCAGTTGATTTTATTTTCTTTGAAGTCCGAGTAGATACTACATTTTGTTCAGCTGCAACATTCGATGTAGGTTTTTCGTCTGCTTTTGGAGACATTACCTCCGAAAATTTCAACAATTACAAGTGACTCAGCATTGGGTTTGCCATTGTGCAACAACACTGGGATTTTCTTATGAACAGGGTTTGATTGAAGAAGCAGAGGGCTCTTGTTCTGTAAATCTTCTTTTATCAACTCATATTCAAACCCCTTAATCTTCAGAGCCCATTCAATTCTGCAACTAAAAGGGCTCCCACTATGTCCAAGCAACTTCACTCCTGACATTCTCTTACAATTTCTAACTCTCACAACTCTTATTATGTTAAAAGATTTTTTTATGGTGGTATGAATTGATCTTGGTGTTCTTTTATAGCTTGAAAAATAATAATGAAATTTCTTAGGCACCAATCAAAGTTATTTCTTGTTTGACACCTGAAGCTTAACTAATATAATGTTTGCATTTGCAGTGACGACTTAATTCGAAGTCGTGGAAGTTTCTATTTATTAAATATTGCTGGCTATTTTTGAAAATTTCTAGACACACGACTTGTTTATTGATTTTTTTGAAACAATTATCAAACAGAAATTCCTAAATATAAGTTCGATCGGGAGAGAAGAGAGGAGAGAAAAAAGGAAAAGGATATAACTAAATCCCTTGATTGAATGCACTAATAATGGATTGAGAGTCTTTTAAGGTGGAATGCATATAATTTGTAAGTAATTCTTGTTTAGGGCGGATAATATACAAAATTAGAATAATTTTGATAAATAAATTTCAAATATTGTATATGAACGAAAAAATCTCTTTCTTACCGGAATCATAAAATTACATTAATCCATCCGATAAAATCCCTTTTTTTAACCATTTCTCATATGTCTTCTCTCTGTAACTGTATGTCCCCGGAATACATATTGAAAAATGTTCAATGAAGTCGAGCAAAATATGGGAAGTAGGAAGTTCCCGAAAAGAAAAAACTAGTTGTTCTTGTTCGTAGTGAGAGATCTCATTCTGTAACATTTGAGGTTATCTGGATAACAATCATTACAAATAAAAATTAATGATGTTTAACATTTCTTAGTAAATGTATATTTTACGTATAGTAAATAAATAGTAAATAGATAAATAGTAAGTAAATTTTATGTATATTTATTATTTATTATCTAGATAAATCTGTCATCTTTCTTTCTTTCGATAAACAAGAAAATAAATGAAACATATATTTTGTCAGATCTTATATTTTTGTTAAAAATTAAAATGTGTTTAGTGTTATGACTAAAAGTGCACCACTTTGTTAAAGTAAATGGACTATTTGTGCTCCATGTAGAAGAATATGTATGACTTTGAGTCTAAAACCAAAGATAATGTATGTTTTGGGGTTTTTTTCAGTGTTATGACTAAAAGTGCACCACTTTGTTAAAGTAAATGGACTATTTGTGCTCCATGTAGAAGAATATGTATGACTTTGAGTCTAAAACCAAAGATAATGTATGTTTTGGGGTTTTTTTCAGTGTTATGACTAAAAGTGCACCACTTTGTTAAAGTAAATTGACTATTACTGCTCCATGTGAAAGAATATGTATGACTTTGAGTCTAAAACCAAAGATAATGTATAGTTTTGGGCAAGAATATGTATGACTTTGAGTCTAAAAGTAAAGATAATGTATGGTTTTGAACTATCAAATTAATCGTAGATATCTCAAAGAAGGAAAGAAACCTTTTGTATTACAACAGTGAAAGAAAAAAATAAAAAATCGAACTGAACCAAATAAGGAACACACCTATGATAACAGGCAATCATGGTAAAAAAGAGGTTAAACCTAGGGCCGGATTAGATAAGTGGGTCAAAATAAGACTATTTTTTTGTTTCGTAGCCCAATAAAAATGTGCTTTTTTAGACGAATAGATGGACGGAAGGTATTTGTAGACTATTTAGCAAACCATAAGAGTAGTTTAATTCATTTTCTCTCCATTTCCCCGTCACACCATTTAAGCCAAAAATCCAACAGAAGGCAGAGTAGGGTTGTAGTGTGTGATTGTGTAGTTATGGTTCTTCAAATATTTGTCACGGTGGTGAGTACGGGTGGCAAACGGGCAGGGCAGGGCGGGGCGGATATGGACGGATTGAAAACATGTAATGTAAAAACCGATAAATTATCTGACCCGACCCATATTTAATATGGATAAAAAATAGATTAGCTGGTGGATAATATGAATATCCATATTATCCATTTTGAGAAAATTTCTAGTCTCCCAAACTTGAGGAACCCCCAATTTGAGGCTTTACAAATGTAAATGTTAAACTCATTAGTTATCCATTTTCTAAGTGGATAATATAGTGTTTCACCATATTTGACCCGTTTTTAAAAAACTCATTATCCAACCCATTTTGTAATGGATAATAACCATTTTGTCACCATTAGAGATGAGTAGGGCATGAAATAGTGATGTAGCAGAAGTGGAGCGTAAACGAGTGATTCAGCTAGTGGCGGTGAAGAATCAATAGATAAATGGGCGGTTGATGGTGGCTGTTCCACGGATGAAGGTGCTGTAGCGAGTTGGTTAAGTTTAACAGAAGATTTTACTTTTACTGTTAGTTTTAGGTTATAGGACCAAAACATTACACTTTTTATATAGATTAAGGATCTTTCAGTTAGGTATATTACTATATTAGGGACCAAATGGATTCAAAGGCCATAAATTAGGGACCATTTTGATCATTTTCCAAGCAGATATATTTCATATGTTAGGTTTTTTGTTTCCAAATTATGTCAACCATGCGTGGGTTCATAATTTTGCAGTATCCTTAGATTAAGAAGAGTGCCTTACAACTTACATGCTGCCTGAGCAGAGCTTGCACTTGCACTTTTTTGTTTGATAATAATGGTGTCCGGCCATTTTGTATACACATCGACTAATTTTATTAGGTATTTGTTATCTCCCACCAGCACAGATACCGTATAACTCTGTCAATCAAGGCTTGGACATAAATAAATCACTTAGTATTTTTTTGCTTCCGTTATAATTTGAATCCGAAACCTCATGGTTCTCAACCCATTTTATTGATCACCAGGTCACATCCTTATTCCTAAGTGTGAGCTTGCACTTGCACTCGCACTCTTGTATTTAAACAAAGGCTCATATTATAAATGTATGTTTAAGAATTTCAGGGAATAAAGGCAAAGTGTTTGGTGGAAGTTTCAGCAGCAAATAACACTGGATATTTTAAATTCTTGATTAAGAAAGAGAATATAGATACAAGAGTGGCAAACATCAATGCATAGGCCAATAAGCAACCTTCTGAGCAATTGACCACATATACAAAGCCTTTTTATTCCCAAAACACTAAGTTTACTACATTTATGTGTTCATATATCATAAATTAGTGAATTATTGGCACAAATCCATGGTTAAGAGACGGGCAAATGCGAAAGCACTCACTCTCATCTAGAGCGTAATTTGTTTGATAATTCTCTTCTCAAATAAAGGTATTGTTTGTTGGTTTGGAAATTAAAGAAGAAATTAAAAGGAGCACAACACATGCATTTTTGCAGACACGTGATTAAGCAGGACACAATACAGAACCAAAACATGAGATTGACAGGCATATTGTTTTCACAGAAAACACTCTTGTTATTTCGATAATTAAATCTCACATAGGTTTGAAGTGAAGAAAAGTCAAGATAGAGGGGGAGAGGGGAAGCATGTCAAACAGCCTACGAAAATTTATCAGAAAACCTGGGGACAACAGGTCTGTTGACCATATTTATAGTAATTCCGCGAACATGTCAATTCGTAATACTTCGAACAGGAACAAACCCAGTCAAATCCGACACGTGGGGTCAGAGGAGCATAATGTGTACGCAGACCTTACCCCTACTTTATAAAGAAAGAGAGGTTGTTTCAGATAGATCCTCAGCTCAAGAACAATGAAAAGGACACAATAAACAAATAACAACAACAACAACAACAAGGTAATAAGACAACGAAAATTTAACAGTGTCTGGAACAATTATATATCTTCAGTGTTACTAGACAGTCATATAACTTACTAGACAGGCAAGTTGAAATTCAAGTAAGAAAATTTACTGTACAAGAAAAGAACATGAAATCTGGGACATAGCCAAATTTGCAAACAAGTCAGAGATGAAGTGGAATTACATATTTATTCCCTTAAATTAACAAATTGTACAACGAAAGACCAGACTCTTATATACAACCAAAATTTCTTATGAGATCAGAAGCGCCAGCAAAGCCCTTCCAAACAGAATACCTAAATTAATCTCTCTACAAATACAAACAAGCCACCCCATCTTCAATGAAAGGGTTGAAGAACAACAATGGCTTGTAAAGATTGTTGTGACATGTACACAAGAACCTGCAATCTGATAACTATTTTCCGATGGATCCTTTCTTTTGACTATGATTTCTACAACAATGCCTTTAACTAATCTAATAAAGCATATCTTCCCATTTGTCTAAGTCTTGATATGCATGATAAGGAATAGTCGAGGTACGCACCAAATAGAATATGCACAAGTGGCACGTATAACCACAATCTACATCTCAGTATCCATTTCCATAAACAACTCTCTCCGCGGCCAATTTTCTTCACCATCTGATGTGAACAAGGAAACAGATATATCAGCCAGTTTCTTCCGGCTCAAACGAGACCTCGGAACCTTCGATTGCCTAGGAGCATTTGGCGCTTCAGATTCATATGACTCACTCCAATTCTCCATATCAGTAGTAGCATTCTTAAAACCAACAGTCTTTCTTGGTGTATTATATTCAAAATGCCATTTTTTTGCAACCACAGTCTGTTCATTCACCAAACACAAACAGCTCATCAATACTTAAAACTAATAAAACTTCTTCAATTATAATGTAATGGCAGTTGAATACAATTAATGCTTACCGCTTCTCTAATCGCCTTTGATACATGAAACAACCTCTTTAGATCATCATGATCAACTCCACACACTATCCTTATCTGCAGAATAGAGACACAAAAAACACATCTTTTTCAATAATCCAATCCAGTTGAAACTTCACAACCATAAACTTTTCACAAAACAAATGAAAAGGAAACTATTTTACACCATTATAATCTTGGTCAACCCATTTTCAACTCTGCCCATTTATCACCACCCAACCCATTTTGACCCGCATGAGATGTGGGGAATTGGATATTGACCCGTTTTGTTTCGACCCATCAAAACCCGACCCGACTGTTTCACCCAATCCCATTTTGACCCGCATGAAATATGGACAGATTAATTTCGACCCAGTTTATTTCAAACCAAACCAAACCCAACTCGCTCATTTGCCACCTACTGTAATGGACAAGTGGGAATCAATAAATTTAAATACGGTAAACAGTAAAATAAAGTAAAGTAAGTTAAATTTCTGTACTTACCAGAATATCTTGAGGCAAAACTTCAAGAGGAGACTTCACATTCACAGAACTGGAAAATGAATTCTGCCTACAGAGTTTCTTGGTTGGTGTAGTGGAAATGAAATCATCAACATCCACAATTTCAGGCAAAAAAATTCTTTTCCTCCCAAATGAAGTACTTCTCACAAGCCCTGCTAATCCAACATTATCTTCACATTTCTTCCTCATTGCCATTTTCTTCAACTTTTTCACACAAAACCCAACTCCAAGATCTGATTTTTCCACCAAAACAGATAATTAAAACCAATTGATATTATCCAAAATACAAAACCCAACTTTGAAAATGAACTAATTGAGAAGGGTCAAGTTTTGTTTTTTTATATAAAGACAGTTGTTTTCTTGAGACTTAATTTTAAACTGGAAAAGGATAAGTATCTAGAAAGGATTTTTATCTTGGCTAAGCAAAAAGATTCTTGGTTAAATATGTGAGGGGGAAAAACTAGCCGTTGGAGAAATACACGTGGCAAAATGGGACAAGGAGAAAAGGAAATAACGTGGGTGGTTCAAGTTGACGTGAGTAGATTGGTCGGTCCAAGTTGGATTGTCGGTTGGCTTTACCTAAACACGTTCTGTTCTTCGTTCTTAGACATATGTTCAATAATTTGTGCTAGATTCATTTTACACGCAGATCAGGGAAACTGGACGGCTAAGATGATGATATGTCAGTTTGGTGTAGTCATTAACGGTTAAGATCTTTTGTAAAAGATAGTCAATAATAGATCCTTCTAGGATAAGTATTCTAAAAGAGTGGGCTTTAATGGATGGGGTGACGGCTGTGAAGTTTTTCACTCGTGGGGTCTAGGAAGATGCATCATTGGTTAAATTTAATTTTAGGGTGGGGTGGTAGGGGTGAGGGGTCAAAGTAGGTCAACGCGTCTACATGATATGCTTGAATTATCATTTATTAAATGTGTCGCAAAGATCTTGTCTAGTTCAGTTTATATTTTTTTTTTTTATGATTTGCAGATTATTACACAGATAGAGATTTATCCAGTGTGTATAAAGTGCTCACCCGAATAGCAAAGATTGTGGCAGTAATTATAGCGGCTGCGAGTTTCTCCTCTTTAAAAAAAAAATTAAGGTTAGTTTTCTGTTTTACTAATGGTGATATCTAATCAATTACTCTCTCCAGTCCACAATAAGTGATCATTTAACTTTTTATTTTTATTCTAAAATAAATATTCATTTACATAATCAAAAAAATAATAATTTTATTTTTTCAAAATTTGTCCTTATTTACATATTTCAATGTGTCAAGTTAACAATTAATTAAAGTTAATTTATTGAATATATCTTTTTTTTTCTCTAGGAATTCGTATTTTTTTAATGGGTATGTCAAAGGTATAATTGTCATTTATCGTGGACCGGAGGGAGTAACACATATTTTAACTATTTTTGAGATCTTAAAGAAAAATTACTTCTTCCAATATTTGCTTTCTTTTATTTATAAGCATAAATGCGGGTGAAATTTTTGCTAATGGCTAAGATGTTTAGTGGAATCCCGTGCTAATTTGCGGGGGTCCTGACAGTTTTATTAGGGATTAATTTCAGGTAATTCAACCAATCAACTCTGGGCCGAGCTTTTAATGAAAAACCAACTTTATGTAAAACAATTCAAGAATTTTACTTTCTTCATTTCTGCTTTAAAGATAATTTTAGCTTGTCTACTAAGATTTTGATAGATTGGAATAAATCATCTTTATTATTTTTGGTCTTTATTAAAATTTTAATCTTAATTTTCAAAATTGTGTTTATTTTATTGACAGTTAGGTTACATCCTTGAATTTGAGATTAGGCTTTTTATGATAATAAATGTAAAATAATATCATTACTCATAAAAAACAAAATATAACACATAAAGATCACCTAACATCTTGGCCACCAGTATTCCAGGAAGGTTACCAAGAATAAAAGGCCTCAGATAAAATAAAAGAAAAATTAGGTACAAACTTTTTAATAACGAACTCATATTTACGTGCATTTTTTGGTTCTCTCATTTCCACCTTCTTTCTAATATCTTTACTTTATCTTTGATTTTGTTTATATTTCGATGACTGACAAGTAATATACAAAATCACTCTTTTGTGTAAATCTATGTTATGATATGAAACTAGTTCATAAAATAAACGTGTACGAAAAGAACTGCAATATTTGGTTTTACCGCAGTTGTTTGTTGAATTATTTAGAAGCTCATATCCTTAATTTCTAATTAAGAAGAGATTAATTCATTTCTTCTTTATATAATTGCAATCTGATATATGGTCTTCTAAATGATCTAAAAAAACGTGTAATGTATGNGGGGAGTAAGAAGGTTCTGGAAAAACAAAAAAATAAAATAAGAGGCAAAATCTCTATGTAAAAGATATGGTCCAGAATAATATAATATAATACTAATTAAAAAGAAAGAATGTCATTAATTAAAAAAGAAAAGAAAAAAAGAAAAATTAGTGGCTACTAAAGTAAGGCTGACGTTGGAAATAAGACCTGCATACTAAAGTCACAAGTCAATTGCAGGGGTCAATGGAGTGCACTTTATGTTGTCTTTACTTTGAAAAGAGTTGCCAATTTTTTTAAAAGAGTTTTACCAAATTTTTGAAAAGAAATTTGAAAACAAGAATTTGACCAACACCAAAAAATTTCAATCTTATTTTAAAACAAACACCAAAATTTGACATACAAACCGTTAAGGTGCATTTATTGTTCAGCTCCCCCACCCCACCCCCTCCTTTTTCCTTTTTTGTAGATTAATCGATATTCATAAAAATATTACTCCTTCTATTTCAAATTATATGATATACTTTTATTTTTATTTAAAACTTTATTCTTGAAAGGAAATTTCTATAAGCATACAAATATTATAACGCAACAAATTTTTATATGATCATAAATTTTAAAAATCATCCATTATCTTAAATTTCGTATCAATCAAACTACCTCCGTTCACTTTTACTTATTTACTTTGGACTTTTCATGCCCGTTAAGATATAATAATTATAGCATGTATTTTACCATATAACCCCTAATAATAATAGCTTTTCAAAAAGTCTTGAGAAATAATTTTGAAAACGAGCTATTAAATAAGGGTAAAACGGGAAAAAAAAAAGATTGTCTTTCTCTTGATTTAGTATAGTAGACAAGTAAAAATAAAAAAATATTTTTAATATAATGAACAAGTAAAAGTGAACGGATGTAATAATTTTTTTTTCCCGATTGAACCAGATTATCTGATTTACTAGAAGAAATGAGTGGTTGACCATTGTGGTACGTAAATAAATTAAATATTCTATGGGGAATGAGAGATTGAGTCAAAGTAATCAACTCAAGTATTAATTGCATTTAACTACCTTCCATCCTAGTCAAAAGTAAAATGAAACGCTAACAAGTTTAATGTAATTAATGCATTTCATGATGCACGCTATCTTAAGCTACGTCCATTTATAAATAATTTATTATAAAACGAGTGAAAATTATTTACATTTCTCAAATTTACTCTAAAAATCAAACTTATCTTCCAACTTTAAACAATTGTCATTTTCATCATTTCATCCTACGCAATATCTATTTTACCCTTGGCATTTTCGACTCCCCATATATGTAATATCCTTTTTATATTATTTAGATATTTGTTAATACATGATTTTATTCATATGTTAAAAATATTATATCTTATTATATGATTTAATCTAAGTTCACTAACATTATAAATAAAACAATCATATTATGAATTTATTACAAAATATATTGCTACTTTATTATTATTATTATTATTTTAATATTATATATATTAAAATGCATATAATGTATGCCGGTGTGCGTGTGTGATTTTAAGTTCCACTACTTTTACAATTCTCTATGTGTATATAAATTTTTGAGTTTTGATTGTTATTACTAGATTTTTTTCTAAATTATAATTAAAGTTCATGTAAGTGTAAATAAATAATTTTTGTAAATTTATTATAAAATTTACCTCTATTTTTCGCCCATTAAATTCTTATTACCTACATTGTATAATTTATAAAAACTTTACTCTCTTTTATTCTCAATTTTGTAGATTGAGTTTTGATTGCTACTAATAAAATTACTGATACGAGTAAATTATTTATTGTAATTTTTATTTTTCTCATTTATTTCACTATTGAACATCATTAACTTATATGCTTGACTACTACTTATTTTTAATTTGTTTATAGGTAAGTCGATAACATGAATTAAAATATAAAAATATCATTAAATTAAAGAATAAAAATAAGAGATAAAAATTGTAGAGGGTTAAATAAGCATTTTGAGAAATCACCTTTCATAGGAGAAGCAGAATGATAATTGTAAGTTGAAGGATGAGTTTAATTTTTAAAGCAAAATTGGAGGATGTAAATAATTCTTACCCTTACAAAAAATGGTCAATTCATAATATATTACTAATATTAACCAAGTATTACCAATATTAGCCAATTAGCTATTTATAGCCAAAAAAGGTTAAATTTTTGCTTTCTTTTGAGTGTATATTATTAGAATAGTTTGGGTATATCTTAAGGAGCTTGAATCTCAGTTTTGGGATGATTTGGTGGAGTTTTGAGGTGGTTTGAATTGAATTTTGAAGTAGGAGATGAACATAAAAAAAATGATATCCGTATCAAATATGTATCATATTTGTATCAAATATGTATCACATTTTGTGAGATACATACGTGATATATATTTGATACATGTGCCGCAGAAGAATTTTTGAACTCGATTTTAACTATGAATTTTGATACCAAATCACCTCCAATCTTCCTCAAATTTTGTAAATTGACTCATCTATATGTTTTTAATTAATTTCAACCATATCCACTGAAAAATATCCCTTTTTGCTTAGATTTTTGGAATCTTATTGTCACGACCCAAACCAGAGAGGCTGTCGTAAGATAAGTAGAATAAAACATAAGGAAATACTCAGTATAGGGTGACCCAACTTGATATACTGACTTATACATATGACGTATTGGCCTATAAGGTCATACCAGTATCAGTATACATGACATATGTGTACAAGCCTCTAAGAGTACATAAATATCATAAAGGTCAGGACAGAGCCTCGCCATACCAAAACAATACATATTCAAATCATACTGACCAATTAGGTAACTCCAGAGCAAGTGGAATGCACAAACACCTTCTGCTGAGCTGATAGCTTACTAGGAGAATTCTCAACCTGTCTATCGGGACCTGCAGAAATGAAACACAGCGTCCCCAGGCAAAAAGGGACGTCAGTACAAATAAAGTACCGAGTATGTAAGGCATGGCAATAGTATATAAAAGACATGAAAGAAACATAGAGTAAAGAACTCAACCTGAAATTCTGAATAGCTCTGTGAATCATGAAAATTTATAATGATGCATGTGCGTATAAATGTCATAC